CAATGTTGCTTTGACTCATGTTTCTCATGTTTGAGAAAGCTGAATCTCCTGTGGTAGCCATGTGGAGCTGCCTAAACGCTGCTACAAATGTAAATTTATTTTTGATATATACAGCACTGTAACAACAACTAAAGGTAACAGTTACTTGATTGTGGTATAGAATTGAACTATGTACCTGGAAAATACAGAATACCCACCACACCCCAGTATTTTTACAGTCATCATGACTTTATAGTTGGAGTAAATTTTCATCAAATGTTACAACTACTTGGAGTTCAAAACTTAAACAGCTTGTAAATTCATGCAGACAAATATTTTTAGGTACTATTTGCATGATTTGTATAGATCTGTGGAGTTGAGGTTGAATCCAAAAAGTAATTACCTAATTACCAAGTAATTACCTAGTAGTAATTACCTAATTTCCCTCTGGGATCAATAAAGTATKTTTGAATTTGAATTGAATTGAATTCTGCTGTAGATGATTAGCTCAGTGTTTCATTAAAAAGTGTCCAATAGTTCATAATACATTTTATTAACATGAGCAAAACCATTCACCTTTTGCCTCTTTCAGCATGCAATGATTTTTCTTCTCTACTGTCATACAGTTTTCTGACTGAAAAAATAAAATTACAAAATGTTAAATAAASAAGCATGTATTCTTCATTATTTTTCTTGACTGAAGATATCCATTTATTACTTTGTTTCAACATTTGATTATAAATAAAATATGCAAAACACTGAATCATGCTTTTACTTACAAGGTACTCAACATCTCAACTTTTTCAAAATTATGCTTACAATAATTTCTCCCACTTAAATTGAAACAGGTTACAGTAATAAAAAAAAAGCATAAATCATGTGCCTCTTTTTYCCCCAGATTATTTCAGTTATTTTTCTGATCACAGGTTCAGTGGGGTAATCATGTATTCTAGGTAAAAACCGAGTAAGAAAATGGACAGAAACTCACAAATACAGCTGGATATTTCTTTAATCTTATTAACAGATGGCAAACATAAAAATCACAAAATTATCTGATAGTTTGAGAAGGGGGTGCCTGCAGTCATTAAGTAGGAGTTTCTTGTTTTGTGGGAGGAGTTTGTCCAACACAGGATTGGTCTGTTTGACTTTTGTGGGGGTAGTTTGTTAAAGAGGTGATTGGCTGGACTGACTATTTTGGGAGGGGTTTAAAGAAGCTGAGAGCAGCTTGGTCGAAATGGACAGGAAGCCTATATTATTTTACACATTAAAGAGTAACTTATCCCAAAATTAACTTTTTTTAGCTGAAAAACTGTCTAGAATGTGTCTAAAATGTTATATAGTACTGTTTCTGTGCT